TGGCTTCCAATTTGTGTGTGTGTGTGTGTGTGTGTGTGTGTGTGTGTGTGTGTGTGTCCGTCCCACATATGTGTATAGAGACCAGAGGTTGATGTCAAGTGTGTTCTCAATCACTCCTCCCCTTACTATTCAGAAAAGAACCTCTGAACCTCTCCCGGAACCTGGAGCTCAGCAGGAATGTCAGCTACACTGGCTGGCCTGCGAACCCCAGGGACCTCCTGTCACTGACTACCCACTGCTGAGATGACAGGAACAAGGTGCCCTGCCCTGGTTTAAGTGAGTGTGAGGGTCACCTTCAGACCCTCCTGCCCACTGTGGAATTTCTGAATAATGCCCCCAGTCCCTTGGTTTCCATTCTGAAAGCAATTGTTTTATTATAATATAATTCCAGAATTCTTAATAACATTAAACTGGTGGCATTTACTGGTGGGACTAGAGAGCTGGCTCAGCAGTTGCGAGTGCTGGTTGATCCACTGGAAGACACAGGTTCAATTCCCAGGACCCACAGGGCACCTCACAACCCTCTGCAACTTTAACTCCAGGGGGGTCTGACACCCTCTTTTGGCCACCATGGACAAGAGGCACACAGGTGGCGTACAAACAACATGCAGGCAGCTTACAGTCGTCTAGAATAGGACATGATGCCCTCTTCTGGCATGCAAAACACCATCACAAAAACAATTGAATCAGATAGGTGTGATGGCTCAATGTACAATCTCAGCATTAGACAGGTTAAGTTAGAGGCCAGACTAGACTCTGCAGAGACCATGTTACAAAAACCAAAACCAAAACCATTGTTTTGGGATACTATTATTTGACTACGACACCATACTAGCATGATACCACTTACTGACCTAGCCATGTTGACCGAAATGGCAAACCTGTTCAATGGTAACAAGCAGCATCTCTCTCTAAAGAAAACAGTACTCTTCCCAGAGTACAGACACAAGGACAAGCCAGTTCTGAGACACTCCAAGTAAGACGCTCCAAGGCCCCTACCTCGGGGGACACCACCACCTAAGGGACTGGCATAGGCCCACAGAAGATGGCCTTCAGGTGGGACTACTGGTACCGTGGTGCCTCAGGCTGAGTATGCCCACCAGAGGGCTAAGGCTGACCTGGATAGGTCTAGGTGTAGGCTAGCCTAAGAAGGGCAGGTTTTCCATCTCGCTGTGGGCTGACAGTGCTCTGGGACAGCAGCTCTTGGCCCTTACCTTCATGTGCTTTGCATGGATTTCCTTCTCCTTCATTGCTCCTGGTGACTGGATGAACCTTCTAGAGAAAGGAAGAGCAGCAGCAGCCGCAAGATCGGTGGTGGGAGTCTCGGCTCCTTCTGAGCCCAAAGTCAGCATCAGAGCACTGCTTGGACCATGGTCTAGGAGCACACAGGGTCAGGAGCTGAAGCCACAACATCCATTTCTAACTACAGTTACAGCACTCACACCACATAAAACACCTATGCGCACCAGACAAAGGCACTAAACAACTTTCATAAAGCACAAGGGGGGGAAGAGGAGGAAGAAAACCTTATTTTGCACATTTGATGTGTTGTCTGTGACTTAAACTTGAACCTCAGGGTTATCTCAGCTCCTTACACACACACACACACACACACACACACACACACACACACGTACACACAATAAGAAAAGAAAAAGACGACTGACTCACTTTTTCCACTCCCATCACTTCTTGCTGATTCATGAGAGGATGTTAACAATTCTTGAGAATCAAAAGATGTTACGATAAAGTCTTCGACATCCTTCTCCTATTCAGACAGGCAGATTTTTAGATGGTCACAAAACAGTAAATAACAACAGATGGAAACTTCCTAAAGTCAGTACATATCAGCTTCCCACAGAGAACCCAGCTCAAAACATTCAAAACATGCAAACATGTTGGACATGCTGGAACACGTGCTGCCAGCAACTCAATCAGCACTGGAACGTTTTTAAGGGATGAAGAATTGGCTCAGTGAGTAAAGGTCACACTTGCAGCCTGAGTGTGAACCGTGGGCCCACATGGTAAAAAGAGAAAACATTTCCCACAAGATGTTCTCTGACCTCTATGTGCCACAACCACACACACATAAACACAATAAATAAAATGTAATTTAAAAAAACTTTAAAAAATAATCTTTATAAGCAGCCACTAGCAAATACCCCAAATTCTTAAAATTTGAGCATAAATGATAGCATATGGGTATCTTAGATAAAATGTATCCCCCCAAAATATTTTCATCCAAAAATATCCCAAAATGGAAAAATGTAATCAAACTAAAAAATAATAAATTGAAGTGTTCTTAAAATGAATCAGTATCACATGTATAGCCATGCATTAAGCACCTGGAATATTACTATAAATAAATAAATCTAGAGCTGTGGCTATGGAGTAGTGTGTGTGAGTTCCCATCTCCAGCATCCACATGAAAACCCAGGTAGGGTGGAATAGATCTATAATCTCAGCATTTGGAAGTAGAGACAGGAAGGTTCCTGCGGCTTGCTGGCCAGCCAGCCTAGCCCAAACAGAACGTTCTGGTTTGGTGAGAGACACCGTATCAAAATAAGGTAGAAAGCAAATGTGGTGAGGAAACCATGACATGGACCTCTGGGCTCCACATTCACGCATACACACAAAACCTAAAACATTTCAGATAATGAGTCCTTTTGTAAATTACACCAGAACGTGTATGACTGTGCTACTCAGAATCAACATGAGTTAGGACACACCCTGTAAATTTCTGAGCATAACAACCCTCATGTTTCAGATATGACTAAAATGATCTAAATGTCCCTACAAACAGTCAGATGTAGGACTGGTTTCTTCTGGAAAACCAGGCTCCTCAGCAACTATGAGGCACCTACAGCCAGATGAGCCAATAATAGTCTTGCTGTGATGCATGGCTACGAAAACAGACCACCCACAAAGCTACAACAGGAGTGTGGGGAGACACCTACCGTAGCCGGCCTCTCCACATGGTGGTTCTCAGCCGAAGGAGCCAGCCCCCACAGCGGGGCCTGTCCTGTGGCTGACTTGCCCGGGTAACAAAGCAGCCCTGACGCATCGACCAGCACCAGTGAGTCTGTCCAGTCTTGGGAGGAGGTGTCCACACTGTGCAGGCTCACTGGACCAGTGCGGGGGGTCAGAGGGAGGCTGTGCTGGGGCTCGAGGCTTGAGTCCTTCCGGAGGACCTCAGGGGAGCTCCAGGAAGACAGGTCCAGGGCCCTCACTGGGTCCTTCTGGGGCTCAGCCTCCTCTGTGTTGAGGGAGTCACTGTGCACACTGATTTGTGAAGAAAGAGGTCCGCCTTGTGGTGTTAACGTTTCTTGAGTGGGAAAACTTGGCATTTCAATTTGGGCCAACAAATCCTGATTTTTAATAGCATCAATGACATCCCACGTGGTTCTAGCAGTATTAAATACATCAACAGAAGGTGATACATTGCTTCCTTCATCATTATGACAATTATTACTTAAACCATTTTCTGACAGGTTTGGCTGATGTAACTTAGGATTTTCTAAGCTGGTGTCCCTGGAGGCCATGGAATGCACCAAGTGGTTCAGTTTCTCCTGCAGCTGTTTCATCTGGACTATGAGGTTGGCACTGCCCAGCTGACCATCTTCCAGCTGCTTTTCCTTAGCCTAGGAGTGAAGAGAACATGCAAAGTGAAGCGACCGAGTTACAACACCATTATTTCTCTGGTGTTTCTGAACTATTTTCAGACAATGAGCACCTATGGGTAGGATCCATGGTGAACCCTCCAGACACTTAAGATGTCAAGTTTATTTAATGTCATGAAAAACAGAATTAAAATTTAATTTTTTTGTTTTGTTTTTGCCTAAAAGACAAGCATCATAACCAAGGACTGTGATGATTTACTAAGGATTCCAGGTTTCGTCCTTTTTTTCTTTTTCTTTTGTTTTGACTGGAGGAAAAGGGACTGAACGTGGAGCTTCCTTGTCAGCACGCACCTGGCACTGTCTGTGGTGACACAGAGCTGAACCACCTTACAGTCACACAGACGAGGCACCGTAAGAGCACAGGGAGAGTCTGCTGTAGCAAGCTGGTGAGTTTCTGCACAGCGTTCCCTGAGTGTTCCAAGGCGGTGTTCTTGAGGCGGATACAAACATCTCTCAGAATCACAGCCCAGGCCCAGGTCCTGCTCTTAGCCTGGGTCCAGCCAACTGTGGACCTGTAAACCTTTCATGCTCTAGGACACAATGTGCACATAACACAGGCAGGAGTGGTCAAGAGTTCTGGGCTCCGGCTTCCAGCAACGTACACAGCACTCCCGCCAGAGGCACCGTCACAGTCTTCAAGGTTTCCAGGGCCACATATGAGAACAACCAACTTTAGGAGTCACTTGAGTCCCACCAGTGGCTAAGGAGTCATGGCCTGTTTTGTCAGCATCCGTGAGTAGGCCTCGGGTACCACTCACCAGGAAGACCTTGTTCTAAGAGAGGGATTGATGGTGACATACACTACATGTCTAGGACAGGGAGCAGCCCCTCTACCTGAAGGCAGATCCGAGGCGAGGGCTGCTGGACACACGGGGCCTGGCAAGCACTGCCACCTGCTTCCTCATTGAACCCTGAAACAATCCCAGGTTCCCCCAAGGGACCCTTCTTTCCCAAAGTAGAAACTGACCTTTCATAGAGTAAAAAAGATATTTTATACTCATGTATAAAATAAGTAAATCTTAAAAAAAAAAAAAAAAAGCAGGGGGAGGAACAAGGCTCAAAATCAAATTTCAAGACTTTCAAAGTTGGAGAGACACTGGCAGGGACAATGGAAATGGATCATGGTAAAAATCTCAAGGATGAAGGTGGGGCAATGTGATCTTCATAGGAACAAAACATACCTGCTCAGACTGCAGGAAACGTGTGTCTTTAAATAAAGCTTGTAAGAGACTTCAGAATGAACAAGGAGTATTAGCATTAATAGGACGTATGGACTCAGAGGAGGTTCCACACTAGACGGATGTAGTCCATGGGATGGATACTCTTACTTCGACCAGGCAACCCTCTGTGGTGAGGCACCCCCATGTGCTGAGCCTAGCCCAACAGAGGGCGGGCGGGCAGGCCCAGCGCACCTTGCCCCAAGCCAGCATTCACCAATACCTCCAATAAGCCCACGCACCTGCGTCCCTTCAAGCACCTCGCTGTCATCCTCCATGCTCAAGTGCGTTGCGTTTTTCACTAAAAGCATCTCTGCCTCCAGCCGCCTCTGGCAGACGGCGAGCACTGCCATCACACTTTCGGCCTTGGGGAGACGGGCATCCTTTAGTGTCACAAGGACTTTGGCAGACTGTAGATCATCCTTGACCAGAGGAAACACAGAGAGCCTCCTAAGCGAGGGCTGGGTTAGTCAGGGACTGTTCCTCAGACCCCGAGCACCACTGCCACACAGCAACAGCGGAGGCACCAAAGGCAAAATGCTGCTGCTGCTCACTACCCACAGCTGGGCAGCAGGCACATCAGACTGAGGACTCAGCTAGGAGGACGTCTGTGGTAGGAGCCACAGAGGGGGGGGGGGGGGGGGGGGCTGCTGCGCCGGGCCGGCAGATGGAAGCAATCAGGCAGCTAATACAGAAAGTTCTACTCAAAGTCAAACTGGAACATTTTTTTTTTCCTTTCTCTCCTTTTTTTTTGAGACAGGGCTTCTCAGTGTAGACCTGATGATCCTGGAACTCACTCTGTAGACCAGGCTGGCCTCGAATGTGGAGATCTGCCTGCCTCTGCCTCCCAAGTGCTGGGACTAAAGGCATGCACCACCATTTAAAAGGTAGCTTGGGAGGCTGAAGAGATGGCTCAGCAGTTGAGAGCACTGGCTGATCTTCCAGAGGTCCTGAGTTCAATTCCCAGCAACCACATGGTGGCTCATAATCATCTCTAGTGCGATCTGTTGCCCTCTTCTGGCATACAGGCATACATGCATATAGAGCACTCATGTATAAAATAAGTAAATCTTAAAAAAGAGAGAAAGAAAGAAAGAGAGAGAGAGAGAGAGAGAGAGAGAGAGAAAACGAAAGAAAAAAGAGATAAAGGAAGGAAGGAAGGAAGGGAGGAAGGAAGGAAGGAAGGAAGGAAGGAAGGAAGGAAAAGAAAGAGAGAAAGGACAGAAAGAGAAAGAAACAAAAAAGAAGAAAGGAAAAGAAAAGAACAAAGAGGATGTCAATGGTATGGGCAGAGCAATAGCCAAGGTCCTCGGACTGGCCTTGGTTCCTTCTACCAGTGTCCTGAGCACTCTGTGTGTTGAACT